ATGTGAATTTTTTATTCCCAACTCAAGACAAGTGAGAATGAAGCACATTTGTATGCAGTCTGGATTAAACACCATTTGTCATTGGGCATACAAAGTTACACACCTACACTTTAACGATGCACTCACATACTATATCGCCATTGTTATCCTATAGAATCAGAACAAACTTCACAAAAAGCTGATGGCAACAGTCAACAAAGCAGTAGTCAATCCACTTCTAGACGCATCTGCAAAAGCAAAAGGCCATCTCACTGTCACAAGAAGAAAAGTGGCAAATAAAGTGACTCGCAGTTTGTTATCCATATCTGCTTTCTCGTGGTCTTTATTACTATTTTTTGAAGTGTATACAAAATGACATGGCCCACGCAAATGAAACTAAACCGGGAGCATTTTTTTATCATTATTTTTTTTCATGGACCAATAAAGTACATTTACAAGAGTTCAATGCTCCTCTCCATCCTGGACATTAGCATATCCCCTGTGTTGTCGTGTGTTCCTTGTACTGTGATAAACACAAGCTGGGAGAGGTCGTCTGTTTTCCCAGCCTATGTACCCACAAAGCCGCCTTGTTGTCCATCCATATGCAACGGCTCTGATGAACCTATATGTAAGCATATGTAAGTGAGAAATGAAGACATCTACAGTTCTAGTAATTACTGGACCTTCATTCCTAACTGAATGACAGGAGACTCGTTTCTTATGACTGTAGAATTAAAAAATTAATATAAAACCACAAGTATCCCGATTATTAGGTCAAGCGATTAAAACAAGAATGACATAGACCTACCGATTTAAAAGGAAAAAACCTTACTCGTCTTCTGACCCTCCACTGCGGCGACGATAGGTTCCTCCATCTTGGCGTTTAAGGAGAGGAGCGACTTGCAGAAGAACGGCGCGGTTCGTAATGGTGTTAAAGTCTTCATGTTTGGTGATGTAATTGATTCGTTCGATCGAACCATCAAACATCAATTTCGCGGATGAATAAGTGACTTCTCTGCAACATCGAAACTCGAAAGCACCGACTAACATTTCAGTATTACACTGCTCGCATTCACACCTGGAAGAGGTAAAGGAAAAATTATCGGACAAACTTAGCAACGTCGAACTTAGCAAGTCGAAACTTAAGTTAAACTTAAACTTAGCAAGTCGACGGGGTAAGTCCATCAATATCTGTTTCTTCTTCATTTGCGTTCGGGCTTACTTCTTCGCCACAATCCGCAAGCGGCTCATCTTCATATGGGATGATAACACCATCGGTAACTCTGGTTTCGCCATCAGAACTGTCACTCTGCTCCCAATCGAGACTCCTAGAGGAGTCACACGATTCATTACTGACCTCAGAATCACTGGATGTCGTGGAAACAGACAGCGGAAAGCGACGGATTTGACAAGTACGCGTGGTTTCGTCGTAAATTACTTTGTCCACTGATCAAGCGATCAAACAACGTGACGTCATAACCTTGTTTCTCATCCCCAGTCTCCTGAGACAGTTTTATTTAGAAATCGAGCAAGTTTTGCATGAAGAAAAGCGGTTAGAGAAAAAAAATTATAATTTTTTAACTGTCTCACAGCTTATCATATATATTGAACTGCCAAATCTAGGGAAAAAATTTTTGCGTCATATACACTTGAATGGAGTTTGATAGGTTGTTGAGTTTCTGGAGAGGTTTGTGTCTGCGGCCAATGGATGGAATTTTAAAGTTTAAATAGCCCAAACTTCCTCTGAAACTTTCTTATAATACGGTTTTCATCTTTCAGGTGTATACCATATATCAAATTTCAATAGTCCCTTTTTAAAAACTGGGTTGGATATTGTTGGGTCACAATGACGGGGAAACTAGCTGCAGACTGCAACACTCTTTTACGAAAGGGGCCAAGGATTCTTTTCATGTCTTTACTCAGTCTTCTTTGATTTCTCGGTTCATATCAATCAATCTTACTTCAATCTGGGTAACTCTTGTTGTCTGACTTTAACTCTGTTCTATTACTGACTCTTCCTCTTAATTCTCACTAAATACTAAGTAAAATCTAAACTATATGAATATATATCCGCTATCGTTAGGCAGGAGTGGGCTTGCTGGTCAACTGACCCTGACTTGCTGGTCAACTGTGAGAATGAATGAACAACAACGTAGTTAATGTTTCCGAACAACTGAATCAATCTTCGACTGCATAAACCAAAATAAGAACTTTCGCGTGAGTTCATAACAAGATCAGAAGACGAATTAAGTACGTCTACTACCGGAAGTTAGACAAGACAGTCACAAATATTAATCACTTGGGAACTCATCGTGGCAGCTTACTCCCAACTAACCTCGGGCTTTGAATTCATATAGTAACTACAAATGCACATGCTAAATATAAACAAATGACTAAAATAATGCTGAAGAAACTAAAGACTTCATAACAATATTAATGTTCTTACTGATGCTTTGGTTACCTCGTATGAACCTCTTTGAGCTTAATTCAATGAAGTGAGCAAATAATAATTATTTTTCCCACTTCTCAGAAATAAATTTCAACTAAAACTACTGCATACAGAGGGAATCTGCTTC